TCATTCATTCAACAGAGGTATTGCTAGTGCCACTATATGACAGCTTCCTGTCAAATTGTAAACATTGGATTTACATGGGGGGGGGGCATTGTTTATTTTTTTTCTTTTTTTTTTTGTTTTTGGGGGGGGGGGGGGGGGGGAATCAAAACCTGTTTTAGCAAGGGATCTGGGTAAAAGTCCCCTGCAGAGATCCTTTTGTTCTTTTCATTGTGTATCTGTCGGGAGGAAAAAAAGATTATTCATATAACTTTAGCAAATGGATCAAATTCTACTTCTATGTGACCGACTTGTGCCTTTTGTACAGAATCATGGCAGAGCAATGCAGGTGACGGCCACGGTCATTGAAGATTCTGCCTGCAATGCTCACATCGAACACCAGAGGGCAAGAGTGCAATAGAAAAGGCACATTCAATGGTTTGTCATTGGTCATAATATGTACACTTCACTTTATGGCTTTGATGATATGAATAAGGAACTATATGGCATTGTTGGTACTGGTGCCGCCCTTAGCCTCAGCAGTTCTTGTGCGTATTTGTATGTACATGCAAATAAAGCTTAAGTTGTTATTCTACTGTTAATAATTTGCAGGGTTTATTTATAAGACTCAATAAAAAGAATGTAATTGGATTATTGTGTGCGTCTTCCTTTTTTTATACCCTCTTAATTTATTTTGGTATGTTATGATCATTTTAATATGCCTTCTTTTTGACTTGTATAAAAAGAAATAAAAGCAAAGCAATACATGGCAAGCAAAAGCAACAGCAAGGGTGCGTTGTTCCATAAGAGCCCATTCCAAAGGTAAGTACAATCCACATCCATGAAACATGTTTTACATACTGAAATCAAAAGCTGCATAGAACTGCATGTGTACTCTAGACTAGGGATGTCCAGATACCAGTGCCGATGCTTGGCATTTTCACGCGCACGACCAGGGTTGCAGCGGTTGCAGCTGGTACCTGGCTCTGGCGCTCCACCACTCTCCTCAAATCATTAGTCTGTATTGTTTTAGAAAAACTGTCACATGACAATAAACAAAAATGTATCGGTACTTGTATCTGTGAGTACTTGGACCAGTATCAGTACTTGTACTTGGAAAAATGGTATCGGTGCATCACTTATATATATTTATTTTTAAAAAATTATGCATTACATTGGGGATGTACAAATCCCAGGAGCTCCGTGTGCTCCTTACAAATGACAGCTGCCTCTTAATTTTTTGAGTTGTTTTTCTCTAGTCTAGTCCTGGAGCAGGAACAGTATATGTACATGTACTTGTACCGAGTACGGTACTTGGTATCTGAACATCCCTACTCTAGACCCAGTGGTTCTCAACAGGCTGCACTGTACGGGTCAACGTATCATTTAGGTCTGGGGCACCTGGGTAAAGAAATTTTATTCACCTGACCCCACTTCCTTGCAGGCCCCAAGACCAGCACCCTCAGCCTCTTCCACCCTCTGCTCTGGCGGTCAGAGACCCGCTGACCTCATCACGTACAATGCAGGGCCCATAGAGGTAAAATTAATCTGTGGTTCTCCACCTCGCACTAACTGGTGATCAATGACTGTTTGCTTGTGGCACAGGCTGTGGGTGTCAGTCCTGGTTAAGTACAGTATTAGAGTACACTCTCGAGTTTCTCTTGTCTCTCAGCCCGGGGAATGGAGTTGCCAATCAGCTATTCTGAACAGCGATGGCCCCACATCTCCCCTGACCAGATTCTCTGCTCCCTTTCCTCTCACTGCTGGGGAGTCATGGGCTTCCTGCCACCATGGAGACACCCTCTGCCTCCAACCTGGCATTGGACCCTGCCTGGGGAGGAGAATGTCCCTCTTCCCTCCTTGGAACCAGCAAAAAGTCACTCGCACTCCAACATAATATCCAGTTAATCTATTTATTGACTAAAATGGTGCAGCATTTCCATGCAACGTTTCAGAACCCAAAGGTCCCTTCATCAGGCAAATAGAAAGTGAACCACAGTGCTGTAAAGTGACTTATATACATATAAGTGCTAACCAACAACCAATCAAGTGAAGTACCAGCCCCCTTCTGACGTCACCGTGACCTCACTTTCCCGCCAATTGCATATGCACACACCCAGTAACAACAATGATCTCCGTGACACCCCCGATCCTATGCATACCTAAAAAGGGGTGAGATCACTGTTGTTACTGGGTGTGTGCATATGCAATGGCACACACACACGAAACGTTGCATGGA